CTATCAACTTGATAGTTTCAAGAGTGTCTCGTCGCGAGTCAGTAGTGATCTGCCGACAGTCCGACTCGATCAATTCGCCTCTGATGATCTAGCCGTAACTTCACACTAATCTACTCAACAGAGTTGATTCTTGGTGTTTCGATCCGCTGTGTGTTCAACAGAGATCAGCAGAGCATTCGAGTTCCCTTATGATACGGTACAGATTCCTCCGTTACGTGAACGTACTCTGAAAGTGCTACTAAGCGGTCGAGCTGAGTTAGTGTTATCCCACCTTCAGTCCAAGCCATCGAGGTCGGTTTTTGCAAAGGTGGGCCAACTCTCGATGCGAGCGTGCGTTGCGTGTGATTATGTTCTTTCGGATTGTGCACTCTTGCACGTGGTGCATGCTTGCTATTATTTTAGTCTCTGATAGCATCTACGGTGTTGAGTTTCTAGTGACCAACCGACAAAGGGAAAGGTCGGCAATCGCACTTGAGTTCCACGTACCTCCTACACCCCCGACCCTCAGCTCAGCCGCATTGAGATGCATGTTGACGCGGCGTCCCTTCATCCGTTTTCTGTCTTGTGGTATCCGGCGAATGAGCAGCGCCCGTGGTCATGACATGTGAGTTACCGCTTATCAAAGATGGGTTCCTCTGGCATTCTCTCAACTCGATCGTTGGCTTGCGGATAATAATTAACTTTTAGCGAGACTAAGAACGAATCTAGCACAGTGTCTGCGCATGTCTCTTATCACAACTTGGCCGGTGTCGTGGGATAGGCGTGGTCTTGCGGAATCTCTCGAGTTTTGTCTCGGTGACTTTAGAAATCCGAAGAAGCCGCCACCGGGAGTTCATCAAGTCGAGAAGCTCATATCTTCGACTGTTGAAGGAGTCGGATCGCTGATGAATGAGACCTTACTGGTCGGCAAAGTAACTGCCCCCGGATAGCGACTCCCGCCTGTGACGACGGCCACCAGCACGCCGCCACCTGGCAGATTCTGTCTCAAGCAGCGGGTCGCGAAGCCCAAGCGGCTGTACACGATGCTGGGGACTCCATGCAGAAGGTGCAGCCAACCTCTCATCGAGCTTTCCAACCGCTCCCGTTTTCTCTCAATCGACTATGGATATTCCGTGAAATCAACTTCACGTTTCCTGCTGTTAGCGTCTCGAAGACTACCTATCTTCCCCGGAAGCGTTGGAGCAACTAGGTGGGTGAGCAGAGAAGCGATTGACTCTCCCGACGACAGGCTGGTCGTGGATGAAATTCATCCGATGAATATCTCAAACCCTTGACTGTATTCGATGGACGCCTTTCGCCTAAAGGTTTTCAAGGACCTCGCTTGTCAGGGGATAAGCGTGTAGAACTCATACGAGAGCAAGTCAAAGCGAGTCGAGAGTTGTTTGGACGCGGCGGCAACTTTTCTGAAAGCAACATCGGAGAGTAAGACATGGTTATGGAATCAGTTGCAGTAGTCATGGCATTGCTCGGGATTTGCAGGCTCCTTGGAGTCCTCGGTCGAAGTCTTGAACAAGTCCCTCAGCCTTATGGAAGTACCCATCTTGGTTCTCGGACCTCAGGCAAAACGTGATAGAGAGGTTGGCTACCACATCGGCCCGTGTCGCTTTGAAATTCGCAGTATCTGTTCAGATAGAGCACAGAATAATCTCTACACTCTCACCGAAGGCAAGTGCCGGCGGGGGATCGAGCGCCGTAAGTTTCGACTGTCCCGCCTTGGACTTGGCGCAGGTTCTCCTAGTCTGAGAATGTATGGTGCGGATGAATCGATGAGCGCGCCGATACCGCACTTCATTTGGTAAGATTTTGTCAGGCTTTCAGCCAGTCGGATCCGAGAAAGTTGATACAGTTCATCCGGCACGTATCCCAACAGCGGCAGGAGCGGCTCTCTGAGTACGTAGATGCTTTGCTAGCCAGCGGCCAACTGACTGTGAGTCAATAAGGAGAATACGGTCCCCACGTTGTCAATGCACGGCTCGTTATAGAAGCATCCTCTAGTCCCTCACGAGTTCGAGAAGAAGCTATATCTGGACATCCTTAGCATCGTCACTTTCGCTTTCGAGAATGCCATGGGCAGCCTCGATAATATTCAGCTGTGGGGGCATGCAGTCAAAGTAGGATAGTTCAGAACCCTCCACCACATCCCCTTCTTGGAAGATGATTCCTGCAGGTGCGTTCGGTGCAAGAGTCCGAGCCTTTTATCAACTTCAAGATCAGCGGGACATCAATACATGGGCGAGAGCAGCTCGGCATCATTGGTGAGTATGAGTCTAGGCAAGCGACCTGATTCCCTCTGGGGAACGGACCCCTTTTGGCGTCATTTCAGTTGACTCGATGCTCCGTGACGAGTTTGTTAACAATCCGTTGATACCCGATGCGGTGGAGCGTAGCCTCTATCTCAATACTGTTATCCTGATATTCCGGTAGCAACAATATTCTTCTGTGCTCACACGATTTTCCCACCAAGCATTGTCAGGATACTAGAGGACCTCTCGAACTCATTGCACGTGTCGGTCATGGGGCACCGCCTAGAGTGGAGACTGAGTGAGTTCGACTCCATTGTTAGAGACGCTCAGTTGAGGATTGGCGCGGAGTGGACTACTATCTCTTTGTAGTTCCTTTGGACATCGCCGAAGTTCACTGCCAGAAGGCACCCTCGCATATTAAGCTCAACGAGGAGGTTATTGACCGTCTGGTTAAGGAGCTTCTGTCAGATGCCAGCATCAATGTTTTTTGGATACCGGATATCATCGGTAGGGAACTCGTGGCCGGGGTCGGCTGGTCAGAGCTAGCGACCGTTATGATGGGGCTTAACTGCTCTTGATAGAGCTCGCATCACTACCAGCTCCCTAGTATTCCAGTGAGGATACGTCATGTTCCAAGTCGTCTCAATAATGACTGAAGCTGGTCGATCGGCAACCTGCCATTGTTGACACAAGCCTTGAGGCCTTGTGAGTCCTGCCGGTGCCTTTTAGAATCCGCGATCTATCGCAACGTATTGCGGCTCATGCTCCGAGTGGTTGAAGAATTGCTGGGGAGGTGGAGAGTAGCATATGACCGGGAGTCCATTTGAAGTGCCCAATCTATCAGGGTAGAGCTGGACCTCCTGGGGACCGCATTCTCATTGAAACTCGTGAACATGCGGGACTCGTCTCTGTGGAGCTTTCAAGCGGAGCTCGAAGGGTGGGTTGCACTCCCGTGGGGTGACGGATGAAGGCTCCGTGCGCTCAGGGACTATTACAAGTCCTTAGCCCAAGTGCCGACGAAGGAGCTCCAGGAACGCCTCTACGAGCTGCAGAATGAGCATGAAATGATCGGCAAGGTCCAACCAGGGAGATCGTCTTGACTTGCTGTTCGACTGGTGAAGAATCACTACTGGGAGGAAGATCGTTCTCGTTTCCGCCTGCTGTCGTCTGGGTAGACTAATACTGCAGGTCTTGGGTAATCGAGCACAGCAGGCTTCATCAGAGGGCTCCGTGAGTGAGGGAAGTTTTCACGAAGACGACCTGAAGAAAGTGGAATATGGTAGACATGGCTTATCACGAGGTGAGTCCCGGGTATGTCAATGACGAGTTTGCTCAGGTAAGGGAAGTTCGCTATTAGAGCAGCTGAACACCCTCATGTAGCGCGATGCCTCCAGGTCAAAGGTAGCCGCGTTCTTTACTGCCCTCATAGGCTCTCCAAAGAATTGATCTCACATGCAGGGTTAGCTCCGGCATCCGTTGAAACGTGTTATGACATCATTGCGGACTTCGATAGATATCCAACATGGATGCCGTGGTGCACCTCTGTAGGTGGTGCCGGATGATTTTCGTGGTCTCCCCCTTGTCTGAGTTTCGTACAGAATCGCTAAGCCGTCTTGGTGGGCTATTCGTCCATAGTGAGGGATGGCTGAGGCTCTCACAGTCCTCTCTTCTTGTTCAAGGCCCAGATAAAATCAGACACGAAGGCTACTGCTCACAGTTTTCAGTGTGACGTTGGATTTGGAATCAAGCACGGTGGTCCGACGATCAGCGATGTCGTGACGTAGGTAGCGTTCTGCCGTCTATTACTCGAGTGATCATGTGCACGCGTCTCAAACGATGGTCTTCACATGTTTTTCGTTGCGTCTTCGGTCGCACTCAAAGTGTCTCCTATTGGCGGAGTAATATCAGTTGCTTTCACCCTCTCGTAATACTCAGACATGCCGTAAAGTGCGGATAGTCTTTATGCCGTTATATATCAGGTACAATGTCACATTGAAGCCGCCTGATGAGAAGGCTGCTAGTATTGTAAGTGTCGACGGGGACCCGCGTCCCCATCGACAGCCGCCGTTTACGCTCCTCGCGGTGGATCCCTGCGCGTAGTTCCACGGCAGGTAGCTGCATCGGAGCCCTTCAGCTACTGCGAATGTCTAATATATGACTGGGATTTCAAGCGATGGGGCAGATCGACTAAGGTCACGGTCAACGTTTATTTCAAAGCCAAGTAGGGTTTGCCAGCCGAGACCCCTTTGCTGTCCGCTCGGTAGCGCAAAGCGATCGAGATCTTGGATCTTGCCGGAAACACTCAAGGAAGTGTTCATCAGGACATTCTTGCTGCTTCCTATCTGGGAAGCCCTTCAACGAAGCTTGATCGAAGGAATAATGGACGCTTTTGCGGAAGAAGTCGTCAACCGAGAGGCTGTTCGAGAAGACGAGTTGGACAACAAAAATGGCGACACGTGACCAGCAGATCTTGAGGTTTCACGCTGTGAGACCTAGACATGAGTCGGCACTTCAAGTTTTTTTTCAATATCACTGTTGTGTTTAATTTCGAGGGAGTTTCACATCAGTGCTCATCCTTGTTCGTGGCGTGTTTCCGAGATCCCACGAACTCCTCAACTCCCGAACTATTGAGATGGGAAAAACACGCCATAGGTTTTACAGTTTGTGCACTTGTAGTAAAGTAGACGAGTGTGCTTCCTGATTCTCTCGAGAGCGACGTCTAACATCGCACCTGAAGCATCTCCTTAGGGCTTCATCGCCGGGATAGTCTAGTGGTTATGACGTCTGCCATACACGCAGAAGGTCGCGAGTTCAATCCTCGCTCTTGGTAGATGCTTTCCGTTTGTAGCCCATGTACCAGATCTGCATTCAAAAAGATATCTCAAGGGTGCGAACTGTAGATGAAGCAAGTTCTTCGAGCTTTATCGCCGGGATAGTCTAGTGGTTATGACGTCTGCCTTACACGCAGAAGGTCGCGAGTTCAATCCTCGCTCCTGGTAGGTGCTTTCCGTTTGTAGCCCATGTACCAGATCTGCATTCAAAAAGATATCTCGAGGATGCGGATCGCAGATGAAGCAAAGTTCTTTGGTGTTTCATCGCCGAGATAGTCTAGTGGTCATGATATCTGCCTAACACGCAGAAGGTCGCGAGTTCGATCCTCGCTCCTGGTAGGTGTTTATCATTTATAGCCCATGTACCAGATCTGCATTCAAAAAGATATCTCAAGGATGCGAACTGTAGATGAAGCAAGTTCATCAGGCTTCATCGCCGGGATAGTCTAGTGGTTATAACGTCTGCCATACACGCAGAAGGTCGCGAGTTCAATCCTCGCTCCTGGTAGATGCTTTGTATTTGTATCCCCCGAACCAGATCTGCATTCAAAAAGATATCTCAGGGATGCGAACTTGAAGCAGGTTCTCTGGGTTTCATCTCCGGGATAGTCTAGTGGTTATGACGTCTGCCTTACACGCAGAAGGTCGCGAGTTCAATCCTCGCTCCTGGTAGGTGCTTTCTATTTCTATCCCATGTACCAGATCTGCAATCGAAAAAATATCTCGAGGATGCGGATCGCAGATGAAGCAAATTCTTGGTGTTTCATCGCCGAGATAGTCTAGTGGTCATGATATCTGCCTAACACGCAGAAGGTCGCGAGTTCGATCCTCGCTCCTGGTAGGTGTTTATCATTTATAGCCCATGTACCAGATCTGCATTCAAAAAGATATCTCAAGGATGCGAACTGTAGATGAAGCAAGTTCATCAGGCTTCATCGCCGGGATAGTCTAGTGGTTATGACGTCTGCCTCACACGCAGAAGGTCGCGAGTTCAATCCTCGCTCCTGGTAGGTGCTTTGTATTTGTATCCCACGTACCAGATCTGCAATCGAAAAAATATCTCGAGGATGCGGATCGCAGATGAAGCAAATTCTTGGAGCTTCATCGCCGGGATAGTCTAGTGGTTATGACGTCTGCCTTACACGCAGAATGTCGCGAGTTTAATCCTCGCTCCTGGTAGGTGTTTATCTTTCATAGCCCATGTACCAGATCTGCATTCAAAAAGATATCTCAGGGATGCAAACTGTAGATGAAGCAAGTTCTTCGGGCTCTATCGCCGGGATAGTCTAGTGGTTATGACGTCTACTTTACACGCAGAAAGTCGCGAATTCAATCCTCGCTCCTGGTAGATGCTTTCCGTTCGTAGCCCATGTACCAGATCTGCATTCAAAAAGATATCTCAGGGATGCGAATCGTGATGAAGCAAAGTTCTCTGGGGTTTCATCGTCGGGATAGTCTAGTGGTTATGACGTCTGCCTTACACGCAGAAGGTCGCGAGTTCGATCCTCGCTCCTGGTAGGTGCTTTCTATTTGTATCCCACGAACCAGATCTGCATTCAAGACGCGCTCCGCCGCATCGCATCAGTCAACTGGGAGTGTTGGGTGAGACTGTGGTGTAAATTATCCCGAGACCCGAAGACCAGCAGACATCGCCAGGATGTCCAACACACTTCGGGCCAGCGGCCAATACAACACCGCAGTCACATTGCCTGGCACGCAAGCACACAGGCAATGTCTCCCAGATAACTAACCAAGGGTAAAAGAAAAATTTCCTCGGAACCGGCCCGGAAGACCTTCTCACGCCGGGTTCCGCTCCTTACAACCACGAACGCAACATATCGTTGCTACCACTTTGGTCGATTACGGGGGCGCGCGAACAGCTCGCGCACAAACGATGCTTGCTACGCTTGCTTGAACTTGCTCCAGGCAAAGCCCGGACCTTCACTCAAAAAGATATCTCAGGGATGCGAATTTGAAGCAGGTTCTTTGAGTTTCATCGCCGGGATAGTCTAGTGGTTATGACGTCTGCCTTACACGCAGAAGGTCGCGAGTTCAATCCTCGCTCCTGGTAGGTGCTTTCTATTTGTATCCCACGTACCAGATCTGCAATCGAAAAAAATATCTCGAGGATGCGGATCGCAGATGAAGCAAATTCTTGGAGCTTCATCGCCGGGATAGTCTAGTGGTTATGACGTCTGCCTTACACGCAGAAGGTCGCGAGTTCGATCCTCGCTCCTGGTAGGTGCTTTTCGTTTGTAGCCCATGTACCAGATCTGCATTCAAAAAGATATCTCAAGGATGCGAACTGTAGATGAAGCAAGTTCTTCGAGCTTTATCGCCGGGATAGTCTAGTGGTTATGACGTCTGCCTTACACGCAGAAGGTCGCGAGTTCAATCCTCGCTCCTGGTAGGTGCTTTCCGTTTGTAGCCCATGTACCAGATCTGCATTCAAAAAGATATCTCTGGGATGCGGATCGCAGATGAAGCAAATTCTTGGAGCTTCATCGCCGGAATAGTCTAGTGGTCATGACGTCTACCTTACACGCAGAAGGTCGCGAGTTTGATCCTCTCACCTGGTAGGTGCTTTCCGTTTGTAGCCCATGTACCAGATCTGCATTCAAAAAGATATCTCAAGGATGCGGATTGTTGATGAAGCAAGTTCTTTGGGCTTCATCGCCGGGATAGTCTAGTGGTTATGACGTCTGCCTTACACGCAGAAGGTCGCGAGTTCAATCCTCGCTCCTGGTAGGTGCTTTCTATTTGTATCCCATGTACCAGATCTGCAATCGAAAAAATATCTCGAGGATGCGGATCGCAGATGAAGCAAATTCTTGGTGTTTCATCGTCGAGATAGTCTAGTGGTCATGACGTCTGCCTTACACGCAGAAGGTCGCGAGTTCGATCCTCGATCCTGGTAGGTGTTTATCTCTCATAGCCCATGTACCAGATCTGCATTCAAAAAGATATCTCAAGGATGCGAACTGTAGATGAAGCAAGTTCATCAGGCTTCATCGCCGGGATAGTCTAGTGGTTATGACGTCTGCCTTACACGCAGAAGGTCGCGAGTTCAATCCTCGCTCCTGGTAGGTGCTTTGTATTTGTATCCCACGAACCAGATCTGCATTCAAAAAGATATCTCAAGGATGCGAACTGTAGATGAAGCAAGTTCTTCGAGCTTTATCGCCGGGATAGTCTAGTGGTTATGACGTCTGCCTTACACGCAGAAGGTCGCGAGTTCGATCCTCGCTCCTGGTAGGTGCTTTCTATTTGTATCCCATGTACCAGATCTGCAATCGAAAAAATATCTCGAGGATGCGGATCGCAGATGAAGCAAATTCTTGGTGTTTCATCGCCGAGATAGTCTAGTGGTCATGACGTCTGCCTTACACGCAGAAGGTCGCGAGTTCGATCCTCGTTCCTGGTAGGTGCTTTCCGTTTGTAGCCCATGTACCAGATCTGCATTCAAAAAGATATCTCAGGGATGCGAATTTGAAGCAGGTTCTTTGAGTTTCATCGCCGGGATAGTCTAGTGGTTATGACGTCTGCCTTACACGCAGAAGGTCGCGAGTTCAATCCTCGCTCCTGGTAGGTGCTTTCCGTTTGTAGCCCATGTACCAGATCTGCATTCAAAAAGATATCTCAGGGATGCGAATTTGAAGCAGGTTCTTTGGGTTTCATCGCCGGGATAGTCTAGTGGTTATGACGTCTGCCTTACACGCAGAAGGTCGCTAGTTCAATCCTCGCTCCTGGTAGGTGCTTTGTATTTGTATCCCACGAACCAGATCTGCATTCAAAAAGATATCTCAAGGATGCGAACTGTAGATGAAGCAAGTTCTTCGAGCTTTATCGCCGGGATAGTCTAGTGGTTATGACGTCTGCCTTACACGCAGAAGGTCGCGAGTTCAATCCTCGCTCCTGGTAGATGCTTTCCGTTTGTAGCCCATGTACCAGATCTGCAATCGAAAAAATATCTCGAGGATGCGGATCGCAGATGGAGCAAATTCTTGGAGCTTCATCGCCGATATAGTCTAGTGGTTATGACGTCTGCCTTACACGCAGAAGGTCGCGAGTTTGATCCTCGCTCCTGGTAGGTGTTTATCTTTCATAGCCCATGTACCAGATCTGCATTCAAAAAGATATCTCAAGGATGCGAACTGTAGATGAAGCAAGTTCATCAGGCTTCATCGCCGGGATAGTCTAGTGGTTATGACGTCTGCCTTACACGCAGAAGGTCGCGAGTTCAATCCTCGCTCCTGGTAGGTGCTTTCCGTTCGTAGCCCATGTACCAGATCTGCATTCAAAAAGATATCTCAGGGATGCGAATTTGAAGCAGGTTCTTTGGCTTTCATCGCCGGGATAGTCTAGTGGTTATGACGTCTGCCTTACACGCAGAAGGTCGCGAGTTCAATCCTCGCTCCTGGTAGGTGCTTTTCGTTTGTAGCCCATGTACCAGATCTGCATTCAAAAAGATATCTCAAGGATGCGAACTGTAGATGAAGCAAGTTCTTCGAGCTTTATCGCCGGGATAGTCTAGTGGTTATGACGTCTGCCTTACACGCAGAAGGTCGCGAGTTCAATCCTCGCTCCTGGTAGGTGCTTTCTATTTGTATCCCACGAACCAGATCTGCAATCGAAAAAATATCTCGAGGATGCGGATCGCAGATGAAGCAAATTCTTGGAGTTTCATTGCCGGGATAGTCTAGTGGTTATGACGTCTGCTTTACACGCAGAAGGTCGCGAGTTAGATCCTCGCTCCTGGTAGATGTTTTTCGTTCGTAGCCCATGTACCAGATCTGCATTCAAAAAGATAGTAGATGAAGCATCTCCTTAGGGCTTCATCGCCGGGATAGTCCAGTGGTTATGACGTCTGCCTTACACGCAGAAGGTCGCGAGTTCAATCCTGGCTCCTGGTAGTGCTTTTCGGTTGTAGTCCATGTACCAGATCTGCAATCGGAAAGGTATCTCAAGGATGCGAATCGCCGGTGAAGCAAATTCTCCGGGCTCATGTAGTTTCATACTCAGAACAGACACGGATGCTTTTAAGCCATGGGTGTGTTAGGTTCACTCCTGAATCAGGAGTCCTGATGTGCCAGCCAGTGTCATATTGTTATTCGAAGTGAAATTTGAGTGAGGCAATACTCTACAACGCCAACAAACTCTCTAGGAGACACTAACATCCGTGGGCATGCTTTCGGGGTTGAAATGCGAGCGATCGAGCATTTTCGATACTTCTGCTATTTGCTTTGGCTGTATAGGGCATGGCCTCTGCCTTCAGTCTCGATAATGCTCCCTCCTGGGCGCGCTGCATCGCATGCGCTCCCTTGACAGCTCTCCTCGTGACGCTACGGCGATAATCGTCCTCTGCTCTAGCTTGATCCATGGCTACGTCGTACCTTTGCGAAAATATTCACGGCAGTGTTTCTCATTTCCGCCCCGCCCGCTAACTACTGTATGTACAATTACGTCTAAGGATGAGAACCGGTAGTGGTGAAGCTCCATCATCAAGACGCTCTGCCAGGGTGGGTCCGTGATACTATCACGGCTATCACGGTGATAGCCCCTATTACTTCTTCCTGAGCTCTTCTGTTTCCGCTTGGCTTCGCGCAACATTGGCTTCTCTTATTGCCTTCGATCGAGCTAATACCTGTACGATGTGGTTCGCTGACTTTGCGCACGGCAGCCAAATCAACTTAGCGGACCGTGGCGTATCTGGCGAGCCCAGCTGAGCCGTTGCCAGAAATGCGACCGGGTCGGGTATCATTGAGGAGCCCTCCCACGCCTTACCTTCATCTCCCTAGACTTGTCATTGAGAACAGTCTTCTGACGGTGAGAAGCTTCCCTAGTAGAAGAAAAGTCGGCTATTCTAACGCTCAACTAGTCAAGCGCAGCGCTCAAACTATCCCCAGTAGACGAGAATTCTTGCACCACGAAGGACGCGGGAACCGTGCGCCTGTCATGAAGGCCTGTGGAGCTCGCTCATCACCTTTTGCGGCCCTTATGGAGCTCCTCATGGCGCTTTCTAGCGAGAAGTTCCGCTGATTCGGCCAAGGCTGCTCTCTTCTTAGTAATTTCTCTGAGCTCCTGACCAGTACGCGAAAACGGACGGGAGTTTCGAGCGATTAAACACACATGATTGTGAACTCGATAGCACGTACTTCTTGCAACCTTCGCTCCTCCGCTAATCGTTGCCGCTTTTTCTCGGCTATCTTTTCTGTCACTTCAACGACAGCTTTCCTCGTGCAGCTCTTGCATCAACGCTGTTTCCTGAGATACTATACTTCACTACCGATTCAACTTTTCGTCGGAACGTCTCTCACCCTATCGCGTCAGAGTGTGACATCGAGCCTGCCTTACTTCTGCCTTCATCTGGGCCTCCTTGCGATGCCTCTCCTCCGCTTCAATACGGGCTTGCTGTCGGACTGTCGATAACTGTTCAGCCTTCGCCAGCAGAGACTCGTGCTTGATCCGTTTTTGCTCTAGGTTATGCGCTCGCCTGTAAGCGAATATCATAGCGGCAACGCTGCAGATGATCCGTGAGCTGCCAACCTGTTCTCTCGCTCGGCCTCATCAGCTTCCTTCGCTAGCTTCAGCCGCTCCTTAAGCTCCGCCAGAGACATTTCTTCTAGCAGGCCATGATGCGGGATCTCGGACGGATCGTACGGTATCGTTTTCACCTACGAGTCGCAGGCTACGACTCATCTCACAGCAGTAATTGTTGCAGCAGTCTTACCACACTCACTCTTTCCAACGCTCTGATCTGCATTATTATGTCACGTCGCCTTTCCATCTCGTACTCGTCTTCGCTGAAAAGGAGAAAATTCTATCCAGAACAGCTGAGCTACGCAGTTTTTCATGCTCATTCAGATTGATCTCGAGACACTGCCCACTTACAGCCGCTTCCTTTCGAACTCTTTCGCCTTTTCCTCTCGAACCCTCTCAGCCTCCATTACTTTCGATTCAATGACTCTTCGCTCAGCTTCTCGCGGATTGTCACGCTGAGAGTGAGGAATAGCATACGTTAATGAAGCGGGCAGGGACTACCTCGGACTGCACCACCGATACCAGGTCGCGCTTGCGCTCAAGTGCCTGAAGGCCGAACTAATAATTCTAGAACTTGCCCGACGGCGGGCACCTCTTCGATCTCCCTCTCGGTTTCCTCCAACTTTTCACGGACAGTCTCTTTCTGAATGCTCGCCAACACATTATTTCGTCTGTGGTGCGCTTTCGAGGCCTCTGCCGCTTGCTCTCGGGCTAAGTGCATCTCGAGCTGAGAAAACCAGGCCTTCGTTTCCTCCTGCCGGTAAGCAGCAAACCTTGCGACGTTCGAGCCGAAGCTTCTCATCAAGCTCATCTTGGGCATACATCCTGTTCTGCCAACTGAGGCATCAGAGCTTCTACGGCTTCCTTCCTGGATGGAGCTTACTCGTGGAACTCCGATGCATCCCTGAGTTCAGTCAGATACTGTCTGAGAATATCATGCTCCAAGCTCCTGTTTCTTGGTTAGCAGGGAGTACTCCCTGAGGCACAGTGACGTGACTCGTCACAAGGCCGGGCGCTGTTCGCCAATGAGGGTGTGCTT